TGTTGCGTGCTAGCTTACAGCTGTGGTAGTGATGTCAGCTGTTGAGCGGCGGGGCGGGGGAGGTTGGATGTGTGAGAGAAACGGAGTGCGTAGCATCATGCAGTATTGTGCGCAGCAAGATTTTACATTCAGATTTGAACAGTCCAGCTGATGGTGTTTACAGAACACCTTGAAGGAGACTGAAGCCAAGTAGCACACGTATACTGGAAAGTAAAACTGGTTAAAATCAGTGATGGGAAGGAATAGTGGAAATGAACCGGGAGAAGGAGATGGATGTTGCTCCAGGTGGATTGTGATGGAAAGAGGAATAAAAGTTATGAAGTGTAGAAATTGTGGCACCATGGTAGGAAGGAACCTGTAAATTATTTAGTTTTAATTATTACATGCATGTTGACAAAAATGACTAAAAACCAAGGAAGTCCATGCTCAATAATCCAGGTACACAATCCATTAATTTTCAGTCAGGTCATCTGGACAGTTGGAAAAAAAAAAAGTAACAGTCCAGATGACCTGACTGAAAATTGTTGGATTGTGTACCTGGATTATTGAGCATGGACTTTCTTGATTTTGAATCAGTTTGACATGACTGTTGACGAGGGAGAGGGCCAGCACCGGAGGAGGGGGCGTGCCAAAGAGACCATCTTAGCACCAACATAACTGGTTTGTTGCACTTTGGAATAAGCTGTTTGGGGGAAGAATCAGTTTTGTGTTGTGTGTTTCCTTAACTGATGAAGCCTTCTGGATGGAAAGTGAAACATTTCAGAAAAAAAGAGAAAGTCCAGATGACCTGACTGAAAATTGTTGCATGACTAAAAATGTTGGGGTTTTTTGGTCACCGTCTTGGCACAGTGTAATTTAATGTTGTGAAAGTTGCATGATGCCGTAATGAATCACTAAATCAGAAAACAGTCAAAAGCCCTGAATTCACTGTTGGTTGTTATTAAAATGTTCACTGGGTAAACCAACATGTTTCAGTCAGGTCATCTGGACAGTTTCTTTATTTGTGCTGAAACGTTTCACCTTCCATCCAGGAGGCTTCATCAGTCAAGGAGACGCGCAACAAAACTGATTCTTCCCCCAACAGTTTACTGCAAAGTGGAACAACCCCTCGTTCTTGACTTTAAAGGAGATGTTTTATTTGTTCACAGTGACTCTTGCACACGTTTAGTTCTCTCTGTCTGTTCTCGCACGCTGTCTTGAAAAATAAAGATTTTTTAAATGAGCTGAGGGAGTAGCTGACGTCTCTGCGTCTGTGTGCAGGGCTCAGTCGTTCGCCGAGCGGCTGCGTCTGGGCATCGCTGTGATCCACGGGGAAGCTCAGGACGCCGAGTCGGACCAGGTGGATGGACGACATTCCCCACCCACCGCCAAAACCACCGGAGCCATTCACCCCAGCATGGAGATCCCACGTAAAACACAAACTTTAAAACCACACTCCTGCGCTCGCAGTTCAGTCGTGTGAGCGATGCGCTGAAACTTTAGCTTTGTGTTTGCAGTGCTGATCCCTAAAGAGAAGCCCCCCATCACCGTGGTGGGAGACGTAGGCGGACGCATCGCCATCATCGTGGTGAGTTTTACTGAGTACCTGCTCGCTGCTGGTGCACCGTGCAGCTTTAATGTGTGAGGTTCTCACTGCAGGATGACATCATCGATGACGTCGACAGCTTCGTGGCAGCAGCAGAGACGCTGAAGGAGAGAGGGGCCTACAAGATCTTCGTCATGGCAACGCATGGCCTCCTGTCCTCCGAGGCCCCCAGGTTCATAGAAGAGTCTGCCATCGATGAGGTGCGTGTGCGCCGGACCTGAAGTCCTTTCTACGTCGTCCACTGTTCTGCCTAACGTCACCTTCCCGTCCTCCCCTCAGGTTGTGGTGACCAACACGATTCCCCACGAGCTGCAGAAGCTCCAGTGTCCAAAGATCAAAACGGTGGACATCAGCTTGATCCTGTCGGAGGCCATCCGCCGCATCCACAACGGGGAGTCCATGTCGTATCTGTTCCGGAACATCGGGGTGGACGACTGAACCGTCTGATGCATATTTATACTGCTGTTTGTTTTCATCCCTGTGGGAACACTCCGTACCCCCCCCCCCCTCCAAACTAACCCCTAAACTCCATACAGGCCCTGAGAACAGAGTCTGGTTCTGTGACGACTGCAGGGCCCTCCATGACTTCGAGTGCAGCCGTTGAACGTTCCCTGTGGAGTTAAAAACAAACCTTTCCCTGATCTGGTTTAAAGGGACATTTCAGATGTTTTTAACTGGTTTTCTGAAGAAGGTTTCTAAACCATTTCCACCTGTTGCAGCTAACTCTTAAAGAACTCACTTAAGATCTGATGATCTGATGGACCGTCAAACCTATAGACCAAAGTGGATGCTTGCCCCCACCACCATGTCCAGCATCTAAATGAATGTTGCAGTTGTATTAACCTGTACCCTGTTCATTTACACTTTAGTTATCCAGGTAGAGTCATTGAGCCACGACAACTCACTTTCAAGAGAGACCTGTTTAGGAGCAAATGGGGGTTAAGGGCTTTGCTCAGGGGCCCAGAGTGGAGCAAATGAAGGTGGGGGCAGGTGTGGGTGCTTCACCTACCCCACACATTTTTGATGTTGTTGGTACTGGTGCTTGAACCAGTGATCTTCCAATCACAGGCCCACCTTCTCTAACCTCTTGCGCCCCCCCCCCACCCCCCCCGGTTCTTATTTTTGCATTCGGCCTGCATTCACAGAGCTCTTTGTCCATTTGCAGGATGTAAAAGTGTCATATCTGGATCGATTATCTGCTGTGGCCATCTTCAGTCAGGTTGATTTCAAAAGTCAGAGTCCAGTGCGTCATGAGATATTTTGCTAACAGACGAGAAGCAAAAGAAGATCTGTAAACGGCAGCAGTTGGCTGTAGCACCTCTGACAGAAACATCACATTTCTGTCAGGGGACCAGTAATGGAAGCTGGAGAGCCGTGTAAAGGGTTAAAATGGTTTTATGACAAGATGGCAGCATGGGGGGAGTGGTGGCGCAGAGGTTAGAGAAGGTGGGCCTGTGAACGGAAGGTCCCTGGTTCAACTCCCTGGACTGACATCAAAATATGGGTGGGAAAGACCAATCAGGCACCCACATCTGTCTCCACCCTCATTTGCCCCACTCTGAGCCCTTGAGCAAGGCCTTTAACCCCCACCATCTGCTCCCCTCCTAGACAGCAGCCCACAGAGGGTGTGGCAGCTCGGTGTCTGGTTGAGTCAGGAAGAACATCTGGTGTAAAAACAATCACCAAGTGTTCGTGTGAGTTGGTTTCTGTGGTGACCCTGAAGCAGGGAGCAGCCGAAAGAAGAAGAAAACACAAGATGGCAGCGTTGCACTTTGCTCTGTTCAGTCGTCAGCTCTTCAGTCCCGTAAGACCTGAGCTGTGTTTTCCACACACGTCTGTTACAGCTCTTTCTATTTGAGCTAGAACATTATTTAATTTTACAAGTTCTCCACAGAAACCCACTTTAAAACATCTGAACATCCTCACACCAACCGTGTCCTGAATAAATCATTCCATTTCTGCCCTGCTCACAAATACACGAGTACATTACACAGTATTTTTTACTTTGTTTAAAATGAACACCCAACTCTTTATTTGTTGCTTTGACTGTCTTCTTCATCTTCCCAGTGAACGAATGTACCGAGTGTCTGTGCCTTCACTGATCTGCTGCTTCTTTCTTACAGTCATGTCAACTGTTTGCTCATTTACTTTACTGCATGTTTAATGCAAGTCGTCGTTTTGTTCTTCTGAAGGCGCTAGTTAATTATTAGCCATATGTGTGTGTAGTTGCCATAACGTTCGATGTTCGTCTGGTGTCAACTACTAATTATTTAACTGCAACTGGAATTAATAGAAGGAATCTATTGATTGGAGATCAGATTTGATGGCAGTGTGTGTAATACTCCATCAACGTGCCATCACTGCTTTGTTTCCATGTTTACATACGTCATGAATAAGCGTAACACCTTTCAAATAAAAGGTTTAATCTGTGAAACTAAAATTTTACATCTCGGTTCAGGATTTCAAGGTGTAAAAAAATGACTTCAGGTATTTGTCAGAATGTTTCTGATGCTTTTTAAAAAGTGAAATCTCCCGATTGGTCTAAAACAGACCAGCGTTGTTTGCTTGAACATGACTTTCAGACAAAAAAAAAAAAAAAGAAATCACCCTTTTCTGACCAACAACTTGACTGAAGCAGGTCTTTGTCACTTTGCCAGATGTTCCAGTGGTTTTGTATTTATTTTCTGCACTTGAAATGAATAAATGTCTTGTAAAAATGACATCTTCACGCAGATTCTGAATCTTTTTTGTAGCAGGAGGTGAGGTACGTAGCTTATTTTCTAAAAGAAACAAATCAGTCACCCAGGATGAGCTGGGCCTGACCGGGTCTTGTAGAACCACTCTGTTTTAAAGGTAGCCTACCTGCTTGAGTTGGGGAGAAGGATGTCGGGGATTCTCTCCTGGTCCTGTTGCCTCCATGACCTGACTACAGATAAGTGACTGCAGTAAAACTCCTGGATTAACAAACTACTCGCACAAATCAAGAGTGCTCCAACAACCTTTTCACCTGGGCCGGTACCTTTCTCGTCCGCCCTATGTATGCATTAAAGTTTACATTTCTTTAAAACTCCACAATTTGATTTCCTCATACATGTTAAGAAACATCCTTTAGATGAATGGTGCTGAACACAAGAAAAAAAACTCAGTGGTAATGTTTTTATTTAATTTGCCCATAAACACAAGGAGCACAGACCTGACGCTGTGTGTTAAAGTGCATTAAAGTTATAATGTCTTTAAAACCCCACAGCTGGATTTCCTCAAACTTGGTGACATACATGCTTTAAATGTGTGGAATTAAAGTAGGAGAATCTCAGGGTGCATTACACCAGCCCTGTTTAGTCCGCTTTAATCGAACTCCAGCTTATATGGAGCCGTCAGCTGCCTTGTGTGAAAAACAATATTCTCCATGGTCTTCTGCCTCATCTTCTGCTCATGCCGAGTCCATTTTTGAAAAATGACAAAATATAACTCCTAAAACGTTGGTTACATACTGTAACCCCAGATTCTATGAGTATAGGCGTAGCCCTTTAAGGCTGTCGCTGGTGGGTTTATCCCGTCATGCAAAGCATCGCACTGAAAAAATTAGTCCACGCCCACCTGTTGTGTGGGCCCCACCCGGTTCGTATAAATTACGTTAAGAGCGGGTAATCAGCTCCCAAATATCTTTTTCTTCAGCCATTTAGGAGCCAGTGAGGCCCGATGCTTAAAGGGCTACGCCTATACTCATAGAATCTGGGGTTACAGTACGTAACCAACATTCTATTTTGTATAGGCTTCGCCCCTTAAGAGCTGTCGCTGGTGGGTTAAGGGCGAAGCAGATGTAGTCTCCGCCTCACTGGATCCATTTGAACACCATAAGAAGGGCCTGCTTGCTAAAAAAAACATCTTGTCACTCAGCTCTCCATGTGCATAAATACGCATTGCGTAATTATGCGCACTATGCACAGATGCGCATTGCGTAATTTACGCGTTCCGAGTGCATGAATGCCCCATAAAAGTTTTCACCAGAAAAAGAGGAGAGGCAGAAAAAGGCCGTGAACAGAACAGATCCACGGCTCTTCAATATGAACATATTAATAATAAATGAACTGATTATTAATCAAATGAACTGATTGATGACAGAAGTCATGAACAGATTAATAACCATAGAACGAGAACAACAGTCATAACCTGTGACTGATAACAACATCTCACACTGTAAATGCATGCAGTCAGATGTGAGTTTAAACGAGATTCCATGAAACAACAATATTCATTCTGTTAAGGCACTAAGGACAGAATGTGTCATGGAACAGGCCGACACATCACGTAAATAAAAGCGAATAAATGAACAGGGTGTTGACCACACGGCCGCAGTGCAATATCCTGCATTGTTATACCATTATGCAAAGCAGTCGAAGACGCAACACCCCTGATCGAGTGTGCTCTGAGGTTGACAGGAGGCTCTAAATCTGATGCTCTGTAGGCTTCAGAAATGGCCTCACACAGCCAGTGTGACAGGCGCAGGGTGGATAACGGGCGACCTTCAGATGTATCTCTATAATGCACAAACAAATGTTGAGTCTGACGTAATGCCGCCGTGTGTGTTACGTAACACGTCAACGCACGTACAGGGCAGAGAAGATGAAAAGATGCTTCTTCTTCTGATTGTGGGGAGGAGGGAAAAAACCCCTCCAACGATATCACTCTTGATTTAAAAGAGCTCGTGATGTTTTAGGCATAAACGCAGGATTAGGCCTCAGATCAGCTGAGCTGCCGTCAGCCTGAATTCTGAGACATGACGGAGCAACTTAGAGGGCAGATAAATCACTCACCCTCTTAACGGATGTTAAAGCCAACAGCAGGGCTGTTTTAAGAGACAAGAATTTAATCGGAATCTGATCTAGTGGCTCGAATGGAGATTTGATCAGGGCTCGCAGGACCAGCGTTAAATCCCACTGTGGAGCGTCTCTGTAAACTTTAAAAAAACGCTTAATCAGCGGATGATTAAAAGCTGTTCTGTCCCCGAAACCTTCGTGACAAGAAGAGATGGCTGCAGCGTACGTTTAATTGTGCTGAATGCCAGATTTCTATCCATCAGCTGCTGCAGAAAGGACAGCACGCTACCTAGTGGACATGAGGTGGCCTCTACACCTTTCTCCGTACGGCAGCGCTGAAAAGCTGTCCACTTTGATGTGTACAGCGCTGTGGTAGATGTAGCACGTGAATCCTGGATTGTACGCACTACATCTTGAGAGAGACCCATCCTCTCTAAGCGGATCTGCTCAGCGGCCCGACCCAAAGGTGCCGGCCTATTTCTGGGTAACTCCTGATCACTCCTCCTGTCTGGAAGAAAGCATCCTCCCTTCACGGCAGTTTCCACGGGCGCCCCGATAACAGGTGTCGTAGAACTGGGAACCATGGGGTGTTCACGCGCTCGGGAGCCACCAGGAGAGCTGTCAATCCCTCCTCCTGAACTTGGTTCAGAAAACCGTGATATCAGAGGGAGTGGGGGAAATGCATAAAGAAGCACT